TAAATCCCTTCCCGATGGCTTCAGATACCCCCATGGCTGAAATCCCCTTCAAAAACTACCTAAATACCTTCCTGATGGCTTCAGATACCCCCCATGGCTGAAATCCCCTTCAAAAACTACCTCAATACCTTCCTGATGGCTTTAGATACTTTAAATAATTTAAATAATTAATTAACATAATTAAAAAAAGTATTAAAAGTATTAAAGTAACTCAAAAGGCATCTGGGCGCGCGAAGGGGCCTGGGGAAGAGGGGCGAAGAGAAAGGGGGCGTGGCCTCCCGGGGAGAGGGGCCCCCACTCGTTTTATTAAGGCGCCACTTTCAAAGTTAATTTTAATAATTTAAACTAAAACTTTTTCGTAATTTTTTTATCAGTTTGGGGGTTTCTGACCACGCTCTATCCGAATCCGAAGAGACCTAAGCTCTAGCTCCTTTCCCCTTCGAGTTGAATCCGGGACACGACGGACAGACAGACAGACGGACGCCTCTACTTTTTTATTATAGTTGATGCGTAATAGGATCGCTACCAAAAATCTATTGCTATTTCGATTAAATCACCAACAACTTTGTAATCATTTCCTTGTATCATAGACCCTGAAAAACGTACCAACAGACGATGCCGAGGCTTTTTCCTGGCATCCCTTCCATTTCGATCGTGCGCATGCGCCCTGCATCCGAGGGGTCGTCGACGCCGAGCTGCAGATAGCACGGTTCGCCGCACGTCTCGTAGGCGTCGGCCGAAAAACGCGGGGGTTAGTGTGACCAAGGAAACAAATAATTTTACCTTGCCCTTTGCCGCTTCCAATGCGGCAGGCGTGAAGGCTCCTGTGATGACCGTCCAGGTGTTATGCGGACGCATCATCGTACCGACCATCTTCTCTAGCTAGAATAAAATAATTGGTATGGAGACTACTATGCGCGAAAAAATATGTTCCACAAGAAATTGGATGAAACTCACATTTTAGCGTTTTCGTGTTTTTCGAGATTTTAAAAATGCCTTTCTATCAAAGGTCCGAAATTAGATCGTACAAACCCTAGTTAAGCGATTTTCAATTATAAAGAATCTTTCACGCCGCTCCCGTTATTTTATACCCATACCCCCGCCATTTTATTCTGTTGTTGATTTTGTCCCTTCAAGCATGAAAAACAAACACTGCGCAAAGATATTCCTCCGGCTTTCCTCAAGGCGTTGACCGTGCCAGCAGCATCATACTGGAGTTGGGTAGGCAGGGCAGCGGCGAAGAGGGACCAGGGCTTGACTACCTGAAAAACTAAAATACATAAAAATAAATTTGCATCACACAATTTTGGCGAAACAGGAATGAAAAAAACTATTGACATTACAACAGCCAACGGGAGCATGATTTCCGGAAAGTGGATGCAGATTGGGTATGCAATCTGTGCCTGAAATTGGAAAAAGTGCAGAGAAGAGAAGAAAGGATTAGTGCTGTCTAAAGAGCGTTTTTATGCGCATAAATTCGCAAGAAAAAGGTCAAAAGATTTAGATTCACATAAATATAAAAGATTTAGATAAAAGATTCCGTGCTTCGCCGTTTGCCCGATTTGAGCAGTGGGGAGCTACGGGAGGCTACAAAGTACCCATAGCCCATCCAAGAGCTTTTTTAACTTATCCAAATCTTTTTAAAGTTAAAATTAACGTCGAACTATTGTTAAGATTACTTTGGCGCTATAATGACGACAATTATCATTATAATGTCAGGGCTCGCAAAGCGGAGAAGAGTTATTGTAGAGCCGAGCGTCCCAAATTAGCGGAAACGCGGTTACGTCCCTCGGCAAGCCCAATGCCAGAAATAGTGGGGTTTCCCTATAAACAAGTGTACAGGGGCCAATCACATCGTGCTCGGCCAGATGCTAGCGATCGGGTAGATCACGTATGGTGGCAGGTCGAGGTGCGAAACCCAGTATGGCGAGTTGCGCAAGGGATTGTTCGATCGCAACTGTTAGACAGTAATTTGATAAAATTATCGCATTCTATCCATCTTTTTAAAGCATTGCTTTTCGTTATTTCCCCTTCACCTAATCGAAGGATCCCGCACTTTCATCCCCTTGCCTTTCTCCTGCTCGCATTTTTTAAGGTTCTGACTCATCACCCGACGCCTTGTTTTCGAAATGCGAGGATGGGTTGGCGATGTTGATTTTCCCACGGGGTCCACCGTCCCAAATCGATACAGAGAGGGTGTTCACTCGGAAATTCTGTGATCTGGTGCTCAGACGCCACCCGCTCGAGCCCCCTTGCATTCACCAAGACGCTTCCCGGGGCGCGGGTATTGGTTCCCCCTGGCTGTAAATGCTACAGTAGCCATCAGTTTTTGATGTTCGTATTTTCGTATTTTTCAGTTTTAGTATTTTCATTTTCAATTTCGGTAGGTGCCAATCTGGCTGATTCACATCCCTCAAATAACCGATTTTTGCGTCCTCAAAAAAGAGATTCAGTTAGTGCTCCAACTATCGCAATCTGCCGCTTTTACTGAGAATTTCCGTCCTTCTTAAATATGCCGATATTTGCAACTTCACATTAATTAGTTCTTTCCTTTTATCTTCAGGCTATTCGCCTCAGCTGGGGAAATTTTTCCAATAACATGCGTCGCTACATCAATGTGCGGCCACGAGGGGCATTTAACAACCGAATCGCCCACAATTATTCAAATTATAGATGACGATGATAAAAATGTTTAATTGGTAAGGTTTTTTTAAAGACCGCCAGAACGATGGAACGCGCACTGTCACCCCGAGGGTGGCAAACCAAAAGGACACCTGAACCAAACGCAAATTGGAACCGCGCGTTGCCAAAAGTGCGCACTAATGAGAGGAGATTGTGCCCCGGGGGCGGCAACGCGCGGCGCCTATCGCCTATCTGTGCATTGATAACGATCTGATCAAACTGAGAAGTGCCGTTCCCTTCCAGAGTTCTGACGGTCTTTAAATTAAAATCCTTCCATTCTTTTCTTACTGGAGATTCGAATTTCTAGACGTTTTAGAAGCAACCGGAAATCTGTTGTGCCCCGCCTACCACTGGTACCTGCTGAGCTTCAACGTTGTGTAAATGTATGAGCCCGGCAAATTTTAAAAGCGGTCAGTTGAACAGAAGATAAAAATCATAAGGCTGGTTTATTTTTATGAATACAATTGTTTTCGAAAGAAAAGAAAGACCTTGAAGGATAGTTTTAGAAAAGGCTATCAAGCACCCAAAGATTGTGGGACGTTTATATGCGCTGCCGATCAGCACTTCCACACGATAATTAAAATGGAAAAGCAGCTGGTAAAGGTGAGTCGTCGTGAAAAAACCAACGAAGCGCTAACGCAATCGTTAAAAATACTGTCTAAGAAAACGGCAAAGTAAAGTGTGCCCATTTTCGAATTCTTTATTTTGATGCGCGCCTAAAAGAACTTGCAAAAAAAACTAGTCAACCCGGTTCTTAGAAACGAGGGGAATTATTTTGATCGCTAAACGACCATGCCCGTCGTCAGTCTGCGAAAGTTATCATCGTTATTATTCTGTATTAATTTTTCAGGAGGACGTCACGGTACTGTGGTCACTGGGCAACTGCCTACTGCTGGGCTCGAACTTTGAGGAAATATATATGGCCCAACTCGTTTCGGAAGCCATGCCGTTTATCGGTATAGCATATTTTTGAGGCACTAGGTTGGTTTTACTCTCATTTTGTTTGTGTTGGTTTTGGGAATGTCAATGAAATATCTGAAAGGTGAACTTCAGAGGACGAAGGGGCCGACGCTCGACAACGACTGCGGCGCGTTTGTGTGCGTCTACGCGTCACGATTGCGCACAATAAAGAATGAAAAGGAAAAAAGCATTGGAAAATCAGCATATGGCAAAGGTAAACTCTTTAGAAGTAATTTCGCAAGTAAGTGAGATCTGTTTTAAGAAAAAAGGTTAAATTTGTTGTCGGCCGCGACAAAATCTGCTTTGGAAAACCGGCGAAGCAAATTTTGGAAATGTTCAAATCCTTAATTTTGATCCGCGCTGAACGCTACTTGGAAAAATCTATTACTGCCCCTCCGTACCTTAAAAACTTAGTTTAGGAGAAGCGGAAAACTGTTGTGGCCTGTGTACAACTAATAACTGCAGACCCTCGACGTTGTAAAAAATTTAAACCATTTTTGAGGCATTAGGTTGGTTTTGTTTCGATGAACGCATTTTTGGAATTTCAGCCTGATAGCGTTAACGCCAATTTCAGAAAAGGACATACCTGAGCGCCGTACAACGATTGCGGCGCGTTCGTGTGCACTGCCGTTCCGCGCTACCGAACGATAATTGGAATGAGAAGAAATATCGGCAAAATCTGGGCGCGCTATAAGCTAAAGGTTTCTCGTTTGCCTTAGTGTTACTCGTTTGTCTAGAGGAACCTAGGATATTTATAAATAGTGTTCATTGCAAACCTGTTTGATTTTTTTTGGCTGACACGTTGCTAAATATTTTGCTTCTGTGGTTATTGTTTAAAAGAATATGGACACAAACCTCTTAAGTTAATAAAGTTTCTAAAAATAGCATTTAGAATTCAACCCATGCGTCGACCTGGCCACAGAGATATATGGGCTCGAAAGGCTAACATATGGCAGTGTCGGAATACGGCTGAATAGATTTCTCAAGCCAGTGATAAATAAATTGGTTTAAAGTCCTTTATTGCCACGAAGGCGCAAAATGTGATCTATCATCACCGGTGTTTTCAAATAAAATTCCTCAAGAACCAAGCGCAAAACCCTGTGACACAAGCTGCAGACTGTCTTCAGAAAAATAAATTTAGCTTGTTCACACTTACAAGTAGTGTTACATACCATTCCATCCTAGGTGCTTCTTAAATCAACGAGGATCCCCTTTTCCCAGCTTGTTCTTGTACCTCCTAATAAAATATCCTTAGAATGTGTGCCAGCTGTTTCAGTTTTCGACGTGGTTTGTTTCGGTTTCATAATAGCAACAATGGATTTTATTAACAAGACCGTTCGGTTCATCGTAAAGCTTCAAGGCTCTTCCTTTTTGATTTCTTTCGATGTGCCTTGGTCGGTTGCTGGATTGTCGTTCAGCGAAAAGAAAATAGCTTCGCAGCCCATAATCCTTTTTACTGGTTGCGTAGCCCCTTTTAATTCAAAGGCATAGCCGATGCCAGGTGGCCCAGCAAGTTGTAGATTTTTGGTGAGAATAAAGGCATTTCTCATTCCTTGATCTTTGTTCACCCAACGCGGCGGCGCGGGGAATACAACCTGGTTCGTACCGAATCCGTGGCGTATAAATATATCCACAAATCTTTTTGACTGGTACTTTTGTTGATCAAGAGCATTTGCATTCAATAGCCTACTGGTGCCAAGTTCATAGGTGGGGTTACTAGGAATTCCCACAACGACAATTCCTTTTAAACCTGCGGTGACGACTCTGGTGATCTTTGAGTCCAAAAACTTTGGAAAATTTCCTGATCCGGTATTGTTTTGGGTCTCAGACTCTCGATGCATGCAGATATACATCACCCCTTTGTATTCGAACCAGCAGACACGGGCCTGTTTTGTACCTCCACCCAGGGTGTCGAGACCACCGTATATCGTAGGTAGGACCGTTTTCTCGCCGCGAAACACAAAAAACATTCGGGTTTCACCAAGAACAGCGTTGTTACTGGCCTTTGGGTCGATAGCATGCGACAATGAGCATGGTTGCGGTGTGACGATCTGGTATCCAGGAATTCGGCCATCCGGCCTTAAGTGGACGTTCGCTGCCTTCAGGATGAAGCCAACGTCGATATTCATATCGTGCAGCATCCACGTCAAGATTTTGAGCTTTTGACTCGACAGCTCGTCCATATTCCACAAAAGATGAGTGAAGGAACCGTTCGGAAGCTGGGCGTCCAGATTCTTTGGTTTTGCTGGCTTTTGAACAGTGTCCGTTTTGATGAGCGGCGGCTTCTTGTCATCCACTTGTAGGCCAGCCAAACCATCGGCGGCACTAAAAATGCATAGTCATCGGATTCAGAAATTTTGCGAGTGGTCGTATCGGAAAAAGGCTAGCGTCAGCGCCTAGATCTCACTAGGGAAGTTCACGATCCGACCGTGGGATATCGACAAAGTGGATCTGACAGAATCGGACACGGGGATTCCGAACCTGCTAAATAAAACGGAGAAACAAGTTATGAGGCTTCAAATTGGGCTAAATCGCCAAAAACGGTACCTTTAACGGCTTGTAAAAAGCGGGGAGACGGGATTGAGTAGAAAAAGAGTAGTGCTTCTTGTTCCGCAAAAAAGGGCTTTGAATACGCTATAAAATTTGTTTGATTTGCAAATAATTCATCGAAAAAAGGTTTTGAGTTCACGGGCAAGGGCCTGTCTAGGTCGTCAAGGAGATTTCCGCGAAGTCATCGTAAACTTTATTTCGCAGGCCCTTTTTCTGCTGCACAAATGCATTTATCTTTTTTGGTACACACAGGATAGCGGGGGGAGGAATAAAATAACGGGGGAGCACTGAAACTTTTTTTTTATGATAAAAGTATTTTTAAGTATGGTTTTTTTTGGGCTGTAAAAAAGCTCTTTTTTTCCGGTCCTCTGTCGAATAGCATTTTCAAAATATCGAAAACATTCAAAACGCCGAAAATTTGTTTCCCCCCGTTATCCTATGTGCTGCCCATAGTTTTCAAAAATAGTTTTTGGGCTATAAAACTTTTATAATACATTTTTTCGCGTTGTAAATAATCTCTTAGTATAGTTTTTGATGTTCTATCGATTCGCGTTTTCAAAATATCGAAAATCTCAGAAATCAATTTTTGTTTATTATATAAATTTTTTCATTTACATTATTTTGGGCTGAAATTAATTCTCTGAGTATATTTTTCGACGCTCTATCGAATGGCACTCGCAAAATCCTACAGTAATTGCAAATTTCATAATAACCAGTGTTGAAAAGCCGCTTCGCGACTTTTCAACACTGGCCCCGTCTAACTCCATATTATCCTTCACTTTGCATACTTGTATAAGCTTCTCCATTTTAATGCCAATAATCAAAAATGTCACTCTCTCGCTCATTATATAGGCTCCCGCGACTTCCGGCCTATGCAAATTGCTTCCTACCAAAGAGGGTTCCCGATTTTACAACAAAAATATAATTTTAATGTCGAAAACTACGAATTTGGTAAGATATGATATACGTGCAGTCATCTCGTGACCATTACGCACCTAATGACGTATCATATGTAGCCTAATACCCTTCGCTCTTTGAGATATCCTCCGGACAGCCTGACGGAAGTTGCATGCAAAGTGGCACACACACACAGACACTATTTTTTTTTTATATAGTAGGATGAGTGCCCACCCCCGTTATTTGATTCCCGCTATCCTATGAGTACCTCTTTTTTTACTCAATTCTGCTCCCCCGCTTTTTTTACAGGCCGTTAAAGGTACCGTTTTTGGCGAAATGGCCCACATTGAAACCTCATAATTTTTTACCCATTGTATTTAGCAGATTCTGATTACAGATTCGGAATCCGCGTGTCCGATTCTGTCAGATCAGCTTTGTCCCGTGTCGATATCCCACGGTCGGGGTCTTACACTTCCCTAGTCAGATCCGCCCTGGGCTTTTAACCCCGACTTCGCACAGGGCGGTTGCGGTAGCAAACTATCCTACCTTATATGATTTTGGGGTGTATCTCTGTGTGTGTGTGTGTCCGGCGCCAGGGAGGGCTACTTTGCATAATTCCAAAAAATACAAATTTCCTCATTCTTGCAAGTTGCACGCGCGGGTGTGGTCGGATGAAGGATGATGAAGGTCCGAAGGACCCAAGCTATCGGAAAGTCAAATTTCTCATGCAAGGCCGCATTCCAGCGCCCAAGGCCCGCGAAGCGGGTGTTGGGCGCTGGTTGAGCAAATAATATTTTTCCTTTCCGTATACCGGGTGTCCCGAAAACGAACTATCTGGTATTTCGCCGTGTTACATCCAATCTGGCCCAAATTTGGGCCAGAGGTGTATCAGACCCTAAATAACAACAATCCTGACTTATAGCCCGATAAATATAGTAGTTTTCGAGTTATCACAAAAATAAACTTTATGTTCCATTTTTCATAGGGTTTCCGTGAAATAGGACCCTCTAAATATTCAGTGAAAACGATTCGGTAGGTCTCATTTACCTTAAGGAATCCTTACGTACTAAACTTCATCAAATAAGCTTCGATGCAAGCGATTTTTAGAAAGCGCAGCGGGCAAAAAAGTGTATAAAAACGCTTTCGTTGCGCTCAAATTTGTAGGAAAACCTCACCGAAAAGGCGCCGCCGCCAAATTTTTTTACAAAATTGATGCATTAACGAAAAACGCGCGCCGCAAGCGAAAAATTTTGAAAAAATAGGTTTCCCAGAAGCAAAACCGTCTTTAAAATAGTTATACAGCGCCGCAGGCAGAAAATTTTTTCAGAAAAATCATAAGGGTCCCCACGGTAAGAGTTAACGTACTTCGCCCCACAGCCGAAGGCTCTCAAAGTTTTCGGTATTTTCGCTATTTTTGTCGGGATCTTTGAAAGGCCATTCGATAGAGCGCTAAAAAAATATACTAAGAGTTATAATTTGAGCCTACAATAATCTAAAATTAGTCCCACAGGCAAAATGTTTCAAATCATATTGATACGCTCCTGAAAAAACAGCGTCGCAAGCGAAAAATTTTGGAAAAATAAATTTCTTAGCAGTTTAAATCGTTTTAAAAACAGTAAAAAACAGCGCCGCAGACAGAAAAATTTGTATGAAAAAAATCATAAAGGTCCCCCTTATGAACTTTTCAACCCTGAAAAACAACCTGTATACTTGAAGCCCGCTTCCGGTCTATGCTAATTTTTCCTAACAAAGAAGTTTTCATAAAAACTTAAATTTAATAGCGAAAATATATAATTTTGAAAAACCGGTTATGTGTGCAGTCATCTCAAGACCATTGCGCACCTAATGACGTATCATACAGGCCCTAAAATTTATCCCCCAGGGAGATATCCTCCGGACAGACAGACGGAAGTGGAAGCAAAGTGGCACACACACGCACACAAACATTATTTTTTTATATACAGGGTGTCCCAATAAAAAAGGTCATGCAAACATTTTGCTATTTCAAATCCGACGGACTTGTAATTTTGCACAGAGGTGCGGAAGGGCATTTAAAATGTTCACAGAAACTTTCGGCCCGATCGGTACAGTAGTTTTCGAGTTATGGTAAAAATACTGTTTTTCCCACTCTTTCGCTTCATTTTTTCGGCTATCTTTTTGGACTTTGCATCAATTAACATAAGTCTCCGGCTCTAAATCCCTTATTCTTCTGAACATTGGCGTCGTTAGCCCTTGTTAAAAAATACTTAAATAGCCTATTTTCGACCCGAATTTTGCGAAATAAAAAATTCCTAGGATAAAAAAGGGTCGGCGCTTCATTTTCTCCATACATTCCAGGGCTCAATTCCGGTGGAATCCAGGTTAAAAACGTAAAATAAAGTTTATTTTTGCCATAACTCAAAAACTACTGTACCGATCGGGCTGAAAGTTTCTGTGAACATTTTAAATTCCCTTCCGCACCTCTGTTCAAAATTTCAAGTCGATCGGATTTGAAATGACAAAATGCCAGCGTGTCCTTTTTTATTGGGACACCCTGTATAGTAGGATAACTGGAGCACTACTATATTTATCGGGCTATAAGTCAGGATTGTTGTTATCTAGAGTCTGATACACCTCTGGTCCAAATTTGGCCCGACTGGATGTAACACAGCGAAAGGCCAGAGCGTTCGTTGTTTGGGACACACTGTATCGTGCTATGCCACCGCGCACCGCCAGCATTAAAAATATTTTGGTTTCGAGGCAGATCACAGGTTGACCAACCTTCCAACATCCTCATTCGCGGCCGCCATCTCTTTCTTTTCCAAAGACCCAAAGAATGTGCTAAATAATAATTTGTTGGAAAATATTCGTTAGAAGGCATTGTATAGTGAAGACAGATGCATATTAGGCTTTTGCTAGATAAAAAAGAACGAGCGATAATTATACTAGGAAGCCCACTGTATGGAGGTATCAATAAAAACGAAGCCAAGAGCCCAAATTTCTTTCAGATGCGGAGTGCCGGTTTGGAAGCCGACCCGAGGCGTGGCTTTTGATACGCCACACATGCTCACTATCACAAAAATGCAAAGGCGCAAGCTAGGATTAACGACAGGCGGATGAATCTATCGGGGAGCGTAAAAAGCTAGATAAGACGGATTTCTGACTAGGCCACTTCTTTCAGGATCGGACTTTTGCGGAGCGGCTCCAGGCCAACGGGCGAAAGTTTTCATTAGAGCCTATTGATAGAGATGGTTTTTGGCATGGGGTGGATTTTTTGTCAATGTCGTTCTCATTTTGCAAGCAAAACGACGTTCTCAATTTATGCATCAAAGCTCAATCGCTTGCACAAAAAACAACTGTGAAAATACAACTAAAAGGGATAAAAACAACAAGTTTCTTACAAATAGACGGTTCCATCAAACTATGCGAAAGCAATTAAGAAGCATCCCAAAAATAATAGTAGGGTAAAAAACTGGATTTATTTTCGTGGTTAGACACAGAATACAAACTTAATGAGACAGAAAATTGCTGGTTTCATCAGTTGAATATTCCGGAGGTTCATCTTTGAGTCTGACTTCTTTAATTCCGTCGATGGCAGATTCCAAAATGCTCCACGGCCGTGGCACTGTATCAATCTCTTTCAACCGAAACAGAATCGGATCGTTCTTAAATTCTTCGCCCATCCGTTGGGTGAATACTTCGTGGTGAACTTGCACCTGGAAGTCTTGCGCGCTCAACAAGAAACAGTTCTGGCGGTGGATCCATAGATTGGTAAGACAATTATCTTCAATTAAGTCAAGGAATGGTTTGACGGCTTCTTGATCTTTGGATTTGATAGCATTTTTCCTCTGCAGGTCTACTTCACGTCCTTCGAGCCAGCCAAGTAGGAAGATTCCTGAAAAAATTGCTATCAAAATGCCGTCATTCATCAAGCCGAAATGTCATAATATCGACAATTCGGAAGGCCGGAATTTTGTAAGGTCGAAATTTCCTTTCCTTTTTCCTTGTCAAAATCCTAAAATGTCCACTAAAAATTCCCGAATTCTATAATGACGAAACGAATATCGACATTTCATAATGCCGAAGTTTTCCGGGAACAAATTGCCAGATAAATCCCGAAAATAGTATCTTAAAGATTTCGCAGATGGAAATAAAATATCCGATAAATCTTCCGTTTGAAAATAAGCTCCGATAGTCATGAAGAAGAATTAAAGCACTATTAAGAATACTCGCCTTTAAGATCTTTCGAATGCTCGACGGTCTCGGATATCCATTTCCTGAATCGGTCAGAAGAGAGCTCTTCTTCCACCCTACAGCCGGCCACGCAAATGAAGAGCACTTCCTGAAAAATGTTGAGTAGTAACGACTGCAGTCAAGCTTCTGTCGTCAAATTCTGATCTTCGGATCGTTTTTACGCTTTTTCTAATACAATTTCGAATTTTTTAACGTAGACTCGGGCGAGCGGGGCTTTTGCAATATCTGAGGAGGGGTACTAACTTTTCTTCCTGAGTTCAATTTTTCTAAGGTAAGAAAAAGCAAAGGAAAGGAGGTAAGAAATACCAAGCTTCTAGGAATTCTAAACGTAAGAATACAAAAGTCTCGATTTTCCATGTCAAATTGGAATGCCGTCGGCAACTCTTTAAGAAAATCGATTAGTTGCAACTACGGAAGGTCCCACCAATTAGATCTCAATCTGTTAGATACATCGAAAAATTCAATAAGGTAAAGTTTAAGGCTTTTAAGTTAAAAAGGGTAACTTTAAGCCGTCTCACCTCCCAAATCAGATGACAGACACTGGCTGGAAAGGGCAAGCCGTCTACCTCTAGCGTACATGCCGTCATTTCCAAGAAATCCGTCCCATTCCAGTACTTGTTATAGATCACCATAATATTCGAGGGAGACTTTTGTAGTTCTTTGAATTTGGCAATATCTCTTCGAATGAAATGAGAATCCGTTGTGAAGTTCTTGTTCTCGGGTACGACGGGGAAGAAGCCGCAAGACTTTGCGTTTCCCATCAGCTCCTTCCGGATCACATGAGCCTCATCTTCGGGCTCCCCGAAGTCGTGCAGAATAAAAGCCAAATAAACGCCCTCCAAGATGCTTTTAAGGGCGTTGCACAATTCTGCTGTGACGGCTGTTTGATCACGAATGTCCCAGATAACGACTCGCTGCCCGTGGGCGTAAAAGATTTTTGGCGCTTTTTTGGGGGGCGCCCGGGCCGGAGTTGGCATCCTAAAATTTGACGATAACGGAGAAATTAAAAATTACCTTCAAATTAAAGAAAATAACGAAAACATAATAAGGAAAAATTGCTAAGTTCCAAAGTTTCTAAGGATTACTTCGGCGGCAAGAAAAGGATCCACAAAATAATTCCTACAAGCCGCGAATGTAGTATTTTAGAGCTAGGTGAAAATTCTTATCACGTAAAAGATGTTTCAGAACACATGCGAAGGCCTTAAAAGGCACTTTAAAATAAAAAAATTTTCTGTGACGAGAAATTTCCAAATTTTTTTCAGAAATATATTATTTCCTTATACTTAAAATCTAAATCTAACTGTTGCAAAACTTTAAAGAAAAATACAGCTCCTTTTAAGAATAAAGAAAATCACAAAAGTATCGTGGAAGGCATATGTTTTTTCATCTTTTGATTTGTCTATGCATAAAAATTGACTTTGCCCCCTATTTTCGGCGAACCTATCAAGCATTGAGACGGAAAATTGGGATAATCTTCTTGCCCCGGTAATTACCACCGCTCAACCCCTTATCACATATTTCCGGAATATTTCCTAAGTAATCGCCGCAATTTTTGACAGCTCAGCGATGAATCAGTGATTCAGGGTTAGCTTAGGCGCCCAAATCTTTTGCCTGACACGATAAAAAAGCCTCAAAAATCGATAAGTTCATTGAGATCAACGAAAGCATGAGGACGCTCGATAAGGCGACTTTTTTAATATTGAGCGATCGTTTTTAGATGCAAGCGCCAGCTCAAAAGGACACAAAGAAGAGTCGGATGGCGTGGAAAAGATAAGGCGGGTTTAGCAGGCGTAGAAGACCGGAAGAGTGGTTTCTAAGATAGACTGGTGAACTCAGGGACCGAGAAGAAGCGGGGAGGAGACATTTTCTCGCGGAAGGTCTCAATGATTTGGTATGTTTCGTAGGCCTAGGCTTACGGATGATTTCATAAGAGTCCTGTCGTAAATGCTTACGAGGTTTTTTTAGGAACCAAAAAAACATTTCCTAGGCTTTCCAATTCTGGTTGGCGGGATCGTTGTGATTTTTGTGGTGTAATTAGCTGTTATGCGTACCTATGTTCAGGTAAAATATTAGATTTATTGCGCCCGAACGAGTTAAGTAAAATGCTGCCTTATAAAAAAAATAAAAACTAAATTTTGAAGGTACAAGTAACCCGACGCACGCTTTCAAATATTTGAGTTTGTATCCCCTCGACACTGAACTGAGCCATTTCGGCGTGATTTTTTACATTTAAATTCTAGTAAGATTTTTCCTACCAATTTTTGGCACAAGAAAATCACTTTTTTGTAGGCTTTCGATCATGGCGAAGATTTTCAGATCCTTGGTGCATTAATAGAACGTATGGCTAAAAAGTTGGTGTTGGGAGGTAAACTATACCGTAGCCGTTTTGCGATTTTACGGTATTCCTATTCATATGCGATTCACTTTGCCGCCACATATTATTGAAAATTCAGTGGCTTCGGGAAGGGTACTTCAGCCGCCAGCCGATTGGAAGTCAATCTGAATCAGCTGGGCTCCGGTTTAGGCCAGTACTTCTAGGAAAAACGCCCTCGCACGCTCATTCCGCCAAGACCAGTACGATGCGTCTACAATGGGCGCTATTACTTCTGATATCCGGGCTTTGCGGGGTTGCCACGGAATGCAAGATTGGACTTTTGCCCTGCCTAACTTTCGAATTTCTAGTTACGCAGGCCTCTTACGAAGCTGGTCATGTGCCGAAGCCGGTCTGTTGTTTTTCGCTAAGTCTGTCACTCGTAGGGAGTGAGAGAGAGAGAGCGAAAAGACTGGAAGAGAAAGAGAGTGTGTGAGTGAGAGAGAAAGTGAGTCAGAGCATGAGAGAGAACGGGAGAGAGAGAGAGAGAGAGCGAAAAGACTGGAAGAGAAGAGAGTGTGTGAGTGAGAGAGAAGGTGAGTCAGAGCATGAGAGAGAACGGGAGAGAGAATGAGGGAGCGTGAGTGAAGGAGAGAGAGGGAGAGAGAGAGAGAGAACGAGTTAGTGAGAGAACGCGAGAGTGAGTGGGTGAGAAAGTGATTGAGAGAAAGAAGTATGCGTGAGAAAGAGCGGTGAGTGAGAGAGGGCAAGAGATAGAGAGAGATACAGAGAGAGAGAGAGAGAGAGAGAGAGAGAGAGAGAGAAAGAGAGAGAAAGAGAGAGAGTGCGTACGAAAGATTTAGCGTGAGTGAGTGAGTGGGAGAGGAAATGAGTAAGAGCATGAGGGGGAGCGAGAAGGAATGAGACGGCATGAGTGAGAGAGACTCAGAGGGAGAGAGTTAGTGATGGCGAGATAGTAAGCGAGTGAGTAAGAGAGTGCGAGTGATGAGAGAGAAAGCGTTAGTGAGAGAGACGACAAGAGCACGAATCCAGGGAGACGAACGCTTCACGATGGAATTGAAAGAGTGGGATAAATGGAATGCCAACGACAAATATCACCATTGCATAGGCAATATGTACGGTAACGGACTTGCGTTTTCCACTCGACAAATCGACGTAATTAGGTCAACACGGATGTCGTGTCATTGGGCAGGACACCACCGAAATGGTCAGGAACGAATTTTACCTAAAATTTCACTTTAACGCCGAGTACACCACGGGGGTCTGTTGCCTTGCTATTTTCAGTGGTAATCTGTCAAAATTTAAGAAGAACAAAACGCGCTGTGTTAGCTTCGGGTGGCAGAACGTCGTGACATCGGCCCGTCGGTGTAAGATTTCTGGGGTTTGCCGCATTTTTATTTTTGCTGTAAGCCGCATTAATAGCCGTGGTCAGGGGCGTACACGACCCCAGTTTTTTTTTGGGGGGGGGGGGGCAACCCGAAAATTTTCTCACTTCCACCCGCGCTAGTTCTCGCCCCTCCCCCGCCCCGTTAAGAAACCTTTATCCGCAGCTCTCCGTAGTACAAGTTTAAGAAATCAACCCCGAAAAAACTAGCTTTCTTTAGCCGGCCAGGGCCGTCTACACGTATTCCCAGAACCGCCCTTCTGCAGGCTCGATTATTCCGATGTATCGGATGGTCGGGCTCGAAATGGAACTGCCCTTTGTTACTCGTGCTGCGATGTACTGGAACAATGTTAGCGTATAAAGTTGATCCTGTTTAAATGGCTTGACCTACTGATTATCTCACTCTCTCTATCACTCTCTCTTTTTTCTCTCTTTCTCTCTCTCTCTCTCTCTCTCTCTCTCTCTCTCCCTCTCTCTCTCTCTTCTCGTCCTTCTTGCTCTCCTCTCCCTTTTTCCTCTATCAGTCACTGCCAAAGTGCAAGCACATCATAAGCGCGATGAGTGGGACTGCCAGGGAGAGTGGCGCAGAGAGGGAGAGAGAGAGAGAGAGAGAGAGAGAGAGAGAGCGAGAGAGAGAGAGGCAAAGCATGTGCGAGATATGGAGAGTGCACCGTACTACCCTTTAACAGCCTGTTAAGGTATCGTTTCCATACAGAAATGCAGAACGTGGAAATAAAACCGTAATGTATGCACTGCCAGTAAAGCAAGACTCTTTATGCAGGATTGAATTCGATCAGCGGATCCACTACCCGAATGCCCAATTTTTCTTGCTGGGTCCTCAGATTCGCGAGGAACTTCTTGCGCTGTGTTTTCAAGGTCCATTCCGGTCGGTGGGAACAGATTAGCATCTAAAAATAAGCTTAAAAATGTATGTTTTTGAAAAACCAATACCCTTTGCTCCGGCAGATATTTCATCAAGAAACAAGATGCAAAATATTTCGAGAACAGTTTGCGGATCTTAAAACAATTGGAAATAACTACCGCAGGAGTAAAATACCTCTTCCTCCTTGAAATTGGGATTCTCGTAAGCTACGATATTCGCGACGAGACCGCCTAATTTTGGTGATATAAGGTAACTTAGCTATCATTACCTGTAGGATTGACGATCTGGGCCATTGCCGATATCGTTTCTTCATTCCGAAAACCCTCAATAGGGCAAATAACTACATTTTTCTTATCGTTAGAACACGCGTCGAGGACGATAAAATCATACAATTCGCCTAAAAATGGAAAGTATCGGAATTTCAACGTCAAGCTGAGGATCAATCACGGGGAAGCTGTTTTTCAGACTATTAACATCCCAAAAACAAGATAAAAATTACAAGGCTAACATTAGAAAGTTAAATCCAGCGGAACACATCGTAAGATCATCCAAAAATTGCTTTAAATTTAATATTGAGGCTCACTAACCTTTAACAATCGTCAGTTTAAATTAAGGAATTTTTAGAAAATCAAACAAGGCTCGGAAAGCCTTAAAAGCGATACCTACTTAATAAATTCAAAAACAGCGATCAAATTCATACCTCTCGCCAACGCTTCCTTAGCATAAACAATCCCGTCAGTAATCTCAATCCGATTCGACTCTGTCGGCACATAACCGTAAAATTTCTTTGCGACCTCTACCATATCGGGATCGATTTCGACGGTTAGCACGTCAATCTAGATAGCTTATAGAATCGTATATTGCGTTAGCCTCACCTTTGCCTTCGGAAATTGAAAAAGATAATTTTGCATGGCTCCACCGCCCAACCCGAATGCGATAACTTTATTGTGACTTCTAGCGAAGGATAAGGCCTGCGAAAAGGGTGATAGAGAGAGGGAGAGGGAGAGAGATAGAGATTGAGAGAGAGAGAGAAAGAGAGCGAGAGAGAAAGAGAATACCTCTATCATATACCCGCTAGCAATCATCACCATCACATATGGCGTTATCAACGTTTTACGATCAATATCCCAAGTAGCACTGTTGGCATTTTCATCCGTTAAAAAATCTAAAAACCCCAAACATCAACTGGAAGTATTGCTAGCCGGAAGTGATATGCAAAATCTACAACTTTCACTTGCCTGGAACCACTAGCATAGCCTGCGACAGGGAAGCCGTTTGAATTTTGTCGGGCACGATGTCGCGTTGGACTTTTAGGCTATAAATGAATGTTTTAATTTTTCTACTGTTTTCTAACTTTGCTGCAAGTTCTAAGTTATTCTGTCATTTTTAAAGTTGACCGCACCCGCGAAACGCGACGCACATGTTTAGAAAGGCGCTCAAGGGGGATTGGCGAGTCAGGAATATGTTTTATTTATTTTTGTTTTTAAATTTTTTAAGTGGATTTGGCAATCACCACGATACGCCATGCGCGCCGCGACCACGACCGCCTTAAATCGATCGCAACCGATTACGCTACAAAATGATACGGGTGCGCAGGAGTCAGATGGAGTCCAGGCGCCTGAAAATCCATGGCTACCCTGGCTTTGCCGACATCTTTAGAGCGCAATCAAACGCGTTTAAAAATATCACATATTTAAATCTTTATATGTTTTTAAATATCATGAACAAATTTTAGCAATAAAGTATAGCCTTAATTATAATGATTTAGAAAGACTCACTCTTCTCCATGCCGATA